TTACTTCAACGGCTGTCTTGAGCATTGTTTGAACTGTGCTCAGGGAACTGAGTTCGTTCCTCCAAATGTCGTATTATTCTGAATGACAAAAACGTCACATATAGTGGTGATGATATTCATTTTCAACGAAGAATCCTAATATCAATTTCACTTTTGTAGAAACAGACAAGGTAGTGAAATAAGGCAAACACACTATGTTTAGCAACCATTCACTGGCCGTAAGTGGAGACTTTTGGCGAAGGAACAGTGGGAATGAGAAGACTCAAAACGAATACAGCATAGTGACACACCACATTTCTATTTCAGTGGCCCTGATATGAAACACCATCTCCTACTGTAACCTTCTATAATGTTACTGCAAATTGTTTGTCAATTATAATGTGAAAGTAAAACAATTAAGTCGTTGTGAAGTGAGGAAAATTACTGATGAAAGATAGGCGATTTCGTGTAAATTCCGCTTGTGATCTTGAACGATAAAGAATGTTCTCAATATGAACAAAAGGGAGATTTCGCCAGACGTTTTCTCAAAACTCGAATATAAGACCATCAGATACAGAAACTGATGCATTACGGACGTTCATAGGAAATAATTAGGAAGAAATATGAGTCCAGCAACCAACATGCTGCAGGTAAACGTGGTTATGAACGAAGGACTGGTCGAAATTAGGCACAAAATGGAGTTTTTCATTTCACAAAATTTAATCGGTGACTATTTGGACTCATTTAGTGGGCTGAAAGAATGTTGACAAGCGATGTGGAAAAGCAGCGATGTTGTTGTTTTCAATAACAACGATAAACAAAGTGGTGATAAAAATGGATTGAATACATTTTGGGAAGTGAAATTAAAAGGTTATACGAGCATCGACACAAAAATAAAGTGCATTACACATCCCGTCTCTGCACTCATTTCTCCCAGTTGATATCAGTTTTGAACAATTTCCGTCCGTCTTAACAGACACAAAATCACTCAACAACAAATGTCGGTGATTTGTTCATATACAATCGATCATAGTTTTCGTGGTGTTCAAGTTGCATATTTCATTACCTGATTGCAACATTATAGATAACAAGTGAGGGATGGTCAAATTATTGATGAAAGATGAGCCGTTAGAGATGTTTTGAATAATAAAGTTAAAAATGTTTTGCAGTAATGCCCAAAATACCGATAAATGTATTAATTTGGAGACATGTGAACGAAGTGGAAGCGCACACATATAATCAATAGCTATTAACTCTATGAAATGAAATCAAATACCATACAATCCGAATATATACCCCTCAATTTAGTTCACAGTCGAACTTTCTCCAGTCTTCTCCGAAAAGCTGAAATATTACGTTCATCATGGTGATACATATGCCGAACTACACCATATTTTAAACGATCACCTTAACATATGACTGACTGGATAGCACCGAAGTCATTCTGTGAACGCAAACATAATGTCTTAAAGTGCAACTAGAGGANGTATTTAGAAAATATATCATTTTATAATGGAAGAAAGTGAACGTATGATTTGTGGTGAATGGGTGATTCGTTTAGATGCGCGAAAACTAAAACGATTATTTTTACTTACTTCATTTGTTCGAATAACCGTTACTTGATGCACTCCATTCAACATATTGCGTAAGTGAAATTCCGTTCAATTTAAAGATAAACATATCATTGCGAATTATCAATTCGAACACTTAACGCAATAAGATTACACCAGCATACTATTAGCTAGACATGATCATACAGAATATTATATCAGATATACTTACATAACTAGATACAATCAATGTATGTTTAGAAATTCACTTACTCATGTTAATTAGTAACTCATTTCGTGAAACCATCATCATGCTGTAAAACTAGCTATTTTATTAATTCGTTCAGCCAATTGGTTACTGGCGGCTATTCGTTCTTGCCAGTGAATATATGATCATTTCCGATTAATCGAGCTGAATGTGACTGAAGCTATAAGAAGCTTACTGTATTGTAAATGGAAATAAATTTCACAGATCATTCTATTGAGCACTTATGTGGTTGTTGATTAAAATCAAGGTTGCACGGTGTTCAGAATTCAAATAATGCATCAAAATAGTTCATTCACCGATGTGCATCATGAAAATTGTGTGTATGCGATCGAATCAATGTGATACATTCGCAAAATCAACTTCATTATTCAGCTCTCGTGAGTGGAATTTGCCTGAAAAAACCAATCTACGATACCCATCAAAACCTTTCTTTACTCTAAAATATTTTGCAGAATTCACGCATAAGTTCCCTGGAGCACGGATTCCAACCGAGTGACGATGTAATCGAACAAGCTGTTCCACTTGACAGGTTGCTTCATACCATGTTGAAAGCACTTATTTCATTAGCTCAATCACACTTCTGAAGAGTCAACAACTTTTTTTTTACAAGTGACCGATCCGTCTTTTTGCCGTTTTTTAAAGCAGTCACCGAAACTGTCGGAATGATTGTTCAATAAGAAAAACAACTGTGAAGTGGGCAGAACACAACCAACAGCGGATTTAAGCTGGAGTGAAACATTCGGAAGAGCATTGTGGTTATTGAAGAATTATCCTCGTTCTTCATTCATACTGAGCTAACGCGAATGCAAACCACTTGATGCATATTTATCCAATTCACTTCATCGTCAAATTTCAAACCAATTTTCAACTTCAGATTTCTTTCATCTCATATGAACATCAAAATACGTAGCCCCTAGCAGTATATCATTACCATCATAACCAAAATTTCATATGATTTTATGCTATTCAATATTTACAATGTACAGTGCACATAACTCCAATATATTAGAAGCTTTTCTATGCGTCTCTACGAATTACTTCTTCTTGTGTAATAAATGACCAATGAATCTAGAAGAATCTGTCTTCCTAGCCTACTACTTACTTGTAGGTTCCAATCGCATAAACAATTTTGAATGTTGTCCGCAATCGAAAATCATAAATAATGTGGCAAATAACTGATCTGAAATAAACTTCCGATAAATGCCTTCAGTGTTGATGAAACTTCAAAATGTCGCTCAATCATCCAAAACAAAAAGACAACGACACTTTGAAACAAAATGTCCTGGCATTCACCTCAGCTAACTCAACCAAACCTAACATAGCGAAATGTTGAACGCCGACTGACACTTTAAAAAATGTACGGACGAACAACACTGCTTCGTGCATCTCACCGTTCCAACGTGAAACACATACAAAAACACAGTTTAAAGTTTATATGCAACAAGGAGCAATTTCAGAGTTCATCAAGAAATTATAAGAGTGCCACCCCGAAGAGTAGCGTAATAAAATGCATTGTGAAAAATATAACAACGAAAAGCAAACAATAATAATAAAATACAAAAATAAACAATTTAGGATGTTATTGTGGCGCACAAACTGTATAGCACTCATGTACAATTTCAGTCAATAATCAAGAATCTAACAATAAGCATCTGTTCCAACTTAGTTCTCATTGTGAACAAGGCAGTGCGCCATCAAAACACCAACAATACAATTACAGAAGAAAGTAACGTTCATTGATCAATTCATCAAAACACTCAAGCGAAACAAATAGCTAGCCATTTAGGCATCGAATGCATGGTTTGTGATATCTCTCGAATGATAGATACATCAACTCTAAAGCTTGAAAAAAAAGAAAAGAAACTACTAAATGAGTGACCGAGATAAATAGATAGATGACCAACGAAAGTTACTGTTTGATGATAAATAAAGTGGTGATTTAATTGGAGATACAATCGAAAATAAACTGAATAAATAATAATAACAATAATTAAAGTGATGAAATATTCATAACTGAGATAAAATAACGGCAAAATATTAAGAAAAGGGCTAGTTACGCACTCATTGAATCATACGAACAGCCGATGGAACAACCAAATAAATGGCCAATAATTATTATCACCACACCTTGCCAACATACAACAAGCAATTCAATCAAGTAAGTATTACACAATATTCTGTTGAGTAGAACGAAATCAAATATAGTCAACATAAACTGATTGATATAATTGTGAACTGCGGAGATGGAAAGCCAACATAATTATTACTTGTAGTGATGATAACAATAAAAATAATAATAATAATAATAATAAAACATTGTTGTGCTTATTAGGCTTGCCAATGTAAATCAATTGGTAAGAATTGTGTACAGATCAAACGAAAGGTTAAACGATCTCTTCGAACGACAGAACATTAAAACTAGCCAACCAAGAGTTTCAGGATATCATAAGAAACGTTCATGAGAATAACAGTAATCACAATAACAATAACAGTATTAGTGATAATGGTAATAATAATAACAATAATAATAGTGACAATCATAATAAAAGAACATACTTAAATGATGAAGAATGTAAGAGAAACAAATGAAAGATATAGTTCAATGAATCACATTTAACATTAACGCTTCAATTTGCACAAACAAACTGATTTGAAAAGCGCAACAAAAAATTTCAATCAAAAATAAATAATTACGTCGTTAACAGAAGCAATACATAGAGGTCACATTCCGCATACTGCAAATTGAGACGACAACATTCATATTTCCCTAAACTGACGCTTGCTCGAGGATCATTGCTCGAGTGAATTATAATATTACTCCCACAAAGACGATTAATGCCGCAAATTATAAAAGAGTAGCTGATGTGCACATTAACATATCATGCTCGATCATACAAATAAACAAACATACAATTCGTGCGCATCTCAAAAAATGCCTGCATTGCAAAAACCATCTCATCTTATTCCACTGGTCAGTTCCACTTAATCAGAGGTACAAATCACCAAATTCATTCCTACACGTTCCGTTCACCGTCCACTCAACAACAATCACATTATATGCATAAATGACTGACTGCCTGACTGCATTTCTATACCAGACACAAACAAACAACTAAGACATCTATTTACATGTTCACTTTCTCGCAATGCACGGTGAAAGACTCGTAAAATGAAATATTATAAAATGAGATTACGAAACAAAGGAAGCCCGCATGAACCAGTGAGTGAATAGCTCATGAAGACGTGCACGCCACCGCATTCAGTTAATTCACCTCAAAGTTACTGTATATCACTTTATATTCACATAGCCAACAGTACAGACATGAATGATGATTATTCGGATTAAAGGTATTATGATTGATTTAAAAAAAAATTATACCCAAATGAGAACGACCAAAACACATTTAAAACCAACAGATATAGAACGAAGTTGTTGAGAGGATGCCAAAAACATCGCTTAGAATTCGTATTCTTCATCGGCCATATCGATTGCCCATCGGAATTTTTCACGTTGGGTTTTATTGAAGATTTTCTCGATTGGTACATTGTTCTTCTTGCACCACGCTACCGATATGCGTGGATCCAAATAGTTCAACTTCGAAGTGCCCAATGCAATCTGTTTGTTTTCATCCTGAAATCATCTCATCTTTGTCTCAAACAGTTCGCTGTCACAAACCAGACGCACTCAATCGATCCATTAGAAGATCCTCTAAATAAATGCCCAATCCCAAAGCAATACAGAATGACTACAGCGAGTGGGCCAATTAAAAATTTTTGTGTGATGGGCAAAAATCATGCCAGTTCGTGACTGATTCATTTTTCTAGAACGGTGACGCTGCCAGTGCATAGCAAATACAACAACAACAACAATTTCTCAATTCAATGCAAAAAATACCAGCTATGATAGGCAACAAACCTTATCTGTGCGTTGGATTTTCAGTCGCTTAAGCTGCTCTTTGATCCGCTCAACCTTCTTCTTCGCTTTCTCTTTAGCAGCTTGTCCTTTTGCTTTTTCCAACTCTTCCTAAAACATTGCAGAATGTTATAGTTGAGAACATATAAACAGTTAAGCTATCACGTTTTACATTTCCAAAATTCGCAACACAAATAGTCCACTGCTATACATACGGCTGAATGCCACAAAAAAAAACACAAAAAAAGAAGACATATGAACAGCATGAATAGAAAGTAACCTTGGCTTCCTTTAGTTCAGCTTTTTTGGCCTTAATTTTGGCTGATAGATTCTCCATACTTTTCTCGTGACCTTTCGGTACAGACCTTTGATGGTTACATAAAATTGCCACTTGTCGATTGGCACGATTATAAGACAGCAAATTCTCTTGAACACTACCTCCCTCTGGAAAATTTAGCTTGAATTATTTGCACTCAATTTTTATTGAATGCATTCATAGACTGCAATTGTTATAGAAACGAAATGAAAACGTTCCTTTCTTACGAACGATCAAACCAATAGACAAATCACTATAACCTTTAGTGAGTTTTTCGAGTTGATCTTGTAGTGTTATGGAAGCGTTATATGTTCGAAACACTTTGACTGTAAGACCAGGCATCAAACTTTGAAGGTGTTGATTCAATGATGCCGTCTAAAATAATATAAAAACCAAATCACCCTTACTATTCATTTCAGGAATTCATTGTTATGTTGCAGCAAAGAGACGACCTAATCTGACCATAATTCTCGACACACTAACTTTGAACGTATCACTTCTCGAACCGAATCATAACAAACACAAAAAATATGTGAACAGCGATCGTCACAGGTAATTTGCAAATCTGTTGAATACGAAAATGAAATCAATTGCGAACGAAACAATGATCGCTGAATAAATGCATCTCAAAATTAAAAACTAGACACCAATAAAGAACAACAAACATCAAGTCTATCGAACAAATCATCGCCAGGTTCCTTGTTTTCCATAAATAATTTCAGGTTGTTGAAGACTCGTTTCTCAACGGGAACTTTATTATAATAACGAATGCTGTCTTTACCCAAAAAATCGAACTCGACCACATAACTGCAATGCAATGTATTCATCCATCCATACAAATATATACAACTGCAGCACTCGGAAACCTCCTCGAAAGATGTTATAAACTGAATCACCACAATCACGAAAAAGGATCTTGAAGGTATTTTATGACCAAGAATGCATTTTTTGTTGAATAAAAATAAAAATAATAATAAATGAGTTCTGATACGCAGTCGAGATAGCGAAAAATTGACGGATTTCATTTGGCATCATCCAAAACGCTACGTACCTGTTTTGAGTTTCGGAAACAAAATTATTCAATCAAAAAAAAAGAAACACAAAACAATCTGCTAACTCTTTATCGTCCAACTTCTCGTGCAATTTAATATGCTCACAACGAAGTGAACAACAGCCCACCGTATCTGCAGCTTCGTCCACGTCTTTTTCGTTACCCGCTCGAAGGGCTAACTATAACCAGCAAATTACTGAGCACAATCAAAAGATATTCTAGCTGCAAAAAGCCAGAACGTCAGGTGAATGAGTCAAACGAGCATGAATAATCAACGACAAATCGATGAGCGTAAATTTGTAAGAACAAGGAGATTACTTTATCGATGAAATACAATGCAACAGCACGCTGTCGAACTCTCATCTCTTTGCTCTTGAAATCGGCCGTATAAACAGCGCGAATATCATCCACACGTGTCTTCAATCGTCGAGCCGTTTCGAACTTCTCATAATCTTTTTCACCCTGAAATTAGAATGAAATTAAATTAAAGGAAACACACATAATTGAGGAACGCCAGATTACCTAAGATAAAGCATTAAAAAATTGTTACTTCGATAATACCTTGATTTTTGAAGACGGATTCAACATTATGTACTTATTTTGACCGAGAATGTTTTCGGTCCATGAGCACAGCCAAGTGACTGTGTTATCGTGGCGTACCTCTTTCCATTTATGACCTTCTGGAGGAACAGGAATCTCCGAATCTCTGCAATTTGATCTTACACAATCAAACAACCAACATTAACAACAAGAACATTTCAATAAGGTATTTATGAGTTGCGCGCAATGAACAAAACATAAACGAATACAAGTGAGTGTGTGTGTGTGCCTTACTTCGAACAATTGATGATAACGTCCTCAGGCATTACACGCTTCTTTAGTCGTCCCATTTTCGGATGGCCTCCCCGACCACGAAACAAGCCCGGAGGTTCAATCCGAAAATTACCGATCTTCTGCCTGTGACCATCAATTGTCGCATACCCGTAGATCTTTACTTCCGCCTCTTTCATCTGAACACATCAACAATTATTTCAATCAACAGCTGTATTGCATACTACCATGCAATTGCTGCGTTCTGCAAAACGATAGGATCGATTTTGCGCTCTACCAAATACTGAGATGAACTTAAAGGAATCAAAAGCACTTGGAAGATCACACTTTTAGTCTCACCAAATGCAACCTAGAATTTTTTCAACCTCTGTGAAAATCAATTCTTTCTAGATTTTTCTTAACACGTTAATCAAGAGCTGATAATCTGAAGCAAAATGCATTCATTCTTTTATTTATTGAAGCATCGAAACAATTAGGATCAGTCATTACCTCCTTGATTTTTTGTTTTTCTTCTTTGCTCATCGCCTTCCTTTCTTCACTCATTTTTTCGAAATATTCGTTCATCGCCCGGAAATCACACTTTTTCAAGTCTGTTATGGTCTCCCTTTCGGCAGGTGTCATCGTCTGTAAATCATCGCGGATAACTTTGCCATCTGGTATGAATGATAAAACTCGTCAATCTCGATCCTTCTTTTTTTATGATGGAATAAATTTCATCCTCGTCAATATAACATCTCATTTATTTTTATGGAAACAACTCGACAACTGCTGAATTAAAATTTCACCATCTGAAAATAGCTTATCACTCGCTCATTCATTTATGAATGCGTACCGTTCTAAGTTGAACAGAGTAAAATTAACCCAATCAATTTCTCACAGAAGTATTCACCTTTCGCCAATCTTTAAAGAAATTAGTATTGAAAGAATCCTTTGTGGTATACTCATGAGTCAACATCTTCGCATAAAATGTCGCCACTTCCTCCGCTTCAGGATTCAGCTTCATTATCTTGAAATTCAATGATAATATTGTGTGACAATTTCTAAGGTCACATTCAATTGCAAAGTAATCACATAATTCAAAGCAACAAAAATTAAAAGGCAATAAAGACTTGTTCTTAAATTCCAGTCAGAATTTCAAGATTGAAAACAATTTAAAAAAGATACAACTGACTTAAAAAAACTGGAGAAACTAACTTTTTTATCGTATCTGAAAGGGACGTTATCAGGCAGTGGAACGTAAGGAGGTGCGAATACTGGACCTTTGTGTGAAAGACTATTCCACTTAACACCATCAGGTTTCTTTTCTTCCATCCACCTGTGAAGTAAATAATACACACACAGTCAGAACATAATCAACCAAAACAATAACCTATTTTATATCACAAAGGATTACTATTATTGCGTGATGATACAATATACTATACCAATAATTAATTGAATGATGAGTGATAGGATTAGAATCATTCCTTGAAGGTGATAAATACTGCAATCTGATCTAGTTTCACATTGTCATTGCATAGCTCTCATTAAAACATCTGAACTTCACGATGACTGAGAGTGATTATGAACCGTTTAAGAATCAGTCAGACTAACCATTTCCACACTTCCTCCTCTTCCTCTTCCTTCTTCTTTCTTTTCGCTGATGAAGCGTGATTCGATTTGGGTTCCTTTTTCACTTCTTTCAACTTTTTATTTGCAGATGAAGTTGATGGCTTCTTTTCCTTCTTTTCCAATTTATCCTTTTTGTCCTTCTTCCTCTTTTTGTGCTGTAAAGATGACATGATGAAACAATCTTATGAAATGAAACCATATGTTTGAGCAGTAAACAATTACACAGGCACCTATTTATTGGGTAACGTGCATCAAAAGCATTACATCAACGAAAACGATCACTCATCGTATCCAATCTTATGTGGCCGTCAAAAAATTGTGACGCAGGAGTCTAATTTTTACCATTCCTCCAAAGTGAATGAATGATCGGAAACACTATCAACTCCCCCAGATGAAAGTTTCATACAAATTACTCAATTGAGTACTGCATTTATTTGCATAATTCAAATTGACAATCAGTTGCAAGAATATAAAGAGAATTGATGTGACTGCTAAAACTTACTTCAGGTGAGTAACTATCGTCATCGTCTTCGCTCCTACGCTTCTTGGAAGAGCCATCTTTGACACGAGCACTCAACGGTACATCATCATCGCTGTCCGATGCAATCTCTTGCTTGATCGGCTCTTCTTTCTTCACCTTTACCGTTTTAGTGCGCACCGTAGATCCAATGCCACCACTCAACGCCGCTTCAAACGAGCCTCGCATAGGCTGAATACAAACAAAAAATTAATTCATTAATCGATGCTTCTGAATACTCTGAACAGAGCACACAGACCCTCAGACGAATCTTTCTCAAATATACGCTCGTAAAAGCGCTCATCGTCAAGCGCCACATCAAGTATAATTTTGATCAGTCAGCTCCTACGAAAGACAGTAATGACTTGTAAGCAATTATCGATAATACCTCCACTTTAACGGTTTTAACTTTCATCGATAACGGCACATCATCGTCGTCCATCTCAATGCCGTTCTTTAGTGCATCCTCATTGACGCAGCTACTGAAAACGTGACATCAACGTAGATATTAAAGGAAATCATTACAATTCGGCAGATTTGAATCACTTCATAAAAATTCAAAGTATGATTAAGGCTTCAGTATGAAAAAAATTTTGTGAAGTGCTTCAGTTCAATTTTGGAGTAAAATTTGGTGTTTCAGTTTATATTTAGGCGGGGGGGGGGGGGGAGGGATAAAACTTCTAGTCAAAACCACCTTTCACAGTTGGAATAAGTGCGCTCTCCAGCTGAATTCTGCAGTGCTGGAGCAACAGCGGTCATTTCTGAAAAGCTGAAGAATTAATTCTGATAGGAGTATAATGCTGAAACGCATTTTTGGAACGAAACACGCATGGCGTTGGAACGTTGAATGATAAACTTCGTGAACGAAGCTTTGCAAAGTAACGGTGAGTGACTGACGACTTCTTCTTTATAAACGATCAAATAGTGTTCTAGAAATTTGCTGAAAATAGATGCGTGAACAAAGTAGACCGCGTGAAAATATTCAGGTGCATACGAACAAAAGATGAATAAGGCAATGCGGCATTGCCGATCCCAAACCACCAGGCTGAAGCAACACTGGCCGGGTTGGACCAAAATTATCTTTACTTTTAATTATCTTCACGAATCATGGTGCGATCCAAAAGCCTAGGACCGGTGATTTCACGGTAACGATGAATGAGACATAGGAAAGGAGCATGATATACACAATGCTCATAACGGTAGTTACCTATATACGCAATTTATGTATTTCACGAAAGTTCCGAGAGTTTCGAAGTAACTCATAAATGAGATTGATCCTTCTGTCTTCATCAGTTCTTGAACATATATGCAAGCAATTCAATATGCAAGCATTAATTATATCTAACCAAATAAATTGCGCAATTTTTTTTTTGAATGTATGCGTGAGTTTCGAGTTTTATTATGGATTTCAGGCAGTATAGATTACAAAGCTATTTTCCATGAGTCTCAGAATCTGTTATCCATATATTTGAACGCTGACTTTTGCGAACATTCTTTGAAGAAATTGATCATTCTTGACTGCCCAACATCTTTTTGAAATCGTGACTTAAGCTGCGATAAACTGCTGGCGATGATTCAAGCAACAGTTGAGTTGCAACATGGAAACATTTTTGAAAATTTTCAATTGCAAGCTCTCACAACTGTAAAAATAGTGTTTTCGACGGCCCTTCCTCTCACCCACCTTGACTTTGGAGATATAGTTGTAGTTTTGAATTGTACCTTCCTTCAATTTATAAAAACCTTAAAGTGGACGTATTAAGACGTTCACAAATACCTCAAATAGCGGGCATATGCACAATTCAATGAGCCTATAAATAAAATTACACCGAAATATTACGACGCGGTTTATGCGTAAATTTTTTAAGAAGCTACAAGTCCCTACTTCTGACTTGTCCCCAAGCAATCCACAAACAGTACTTTTTGGCTCACTGTTCCACAGATGCTGTGCTGTACCCGTTGACTTGCTCAAACGACCACCCAAATCGTTATGTTGCAAAAATTATGTCACATTTTTATCTTTGTTCAAAAATTTAACGTCCCTCTATAAAGTCAATGAAATTTATTGAACACAAAGACTTCGGATCAATACTTCGACGGCGGTGATAGTCTCACTCGTTGATCAGAGCGAGCTGAATTTTCTAAGCGAAACTATCAAAACGTGCAGATGAAAAAGTTCTAGGCGGATTACAACAAGAATCTTTGTTCGGGATGCGTGTGTATCAGCTGTTTCATGAAGATTCACCTGGAAATTATCACCTTATTATAATGGTGGATTGATGGTTTCATCTTAACTTGATTTCTTCTTCCGGTAATTTGTTTGGATTGATGGTTTCATTTTAATTTGATTTGATTTCTTTCACCCTAAATTGATTTGGAATGGTTATTCGGAGACGGAACGGTTGGTTTGCCGATCGCTCTGGGCGTTGCGATTATTTACTAGACTGGCATTCTGCTATGCTTAGTTATGCAAAGTATTTATGACAACAGACATTCATCATTGTTTGGCTGTGCGATTTTCAATACACCAACCGCTATCGATCTATTCGGTTACATTAACTCTTTACTGTTGATCCTGAAAGGGCATTTGTTTACTACTGTCGAAACTCTTTACTGTTGATCCTGAAAGGGCATTTGTTTACTACTGTCGATTGATTTAAACAGGTATTCTGGGCGATTATTGGACAACATGTTCAACTGATCAAATGAAATGTATCTTCTGCTTTATCTTGAGTCCCTAACTTTAGAAATCAAAGTTACAATTTCATGAAGACAGACGATTCACAACAGTATTATCATTAGCTGTGCGGAAAGAAGCATGTCAAGGGAGAAAGAATGTGATATTGGTGATGACAAAGAATGTGATAAATTCGTAATAAGCTGTAATTGCTGATTGAAAAATTCATTGTTCATCCAACAGTGGTGAATTTCTCGAGTGCATTACCAACATAATTAAGTTGTTACGGTCCATTTGAGATAGTTTATCAAATATCAAACAACTATTTCTTCATTTTATTTCACATTTATTGCCGACGAATTACAACGTAAGCATTTTACATGCTTAGCGTTTGCTAGTGATTCCAAGCTTTCTAAGGATCGTCACAATACTCACTGTCAGTTAGATCTCCGTTTCAGCATCACTGAAATATGAAAGAATACGTGGAGTCTGATCAAATATTTCGCCATCAACTATCCAAAATACTCTGCGATTTTCTGACAGTCCATTCGAGCTAACACTTAGATGTATCGTCACACTCACTTCATTTCACAGCCAACTTCGAGTAGGATTCAGAAAACCATCGACTTTACATTACTACGTAACTTTCACCATTCAGCAGCAATTTTCTCACGACATAAATACTGACATAAAATGAACTGATACTTCTTCGCAATATCGATATGAGGATATGGTTTATTTCATTTCAGTGAGATATCGATATGAGGATATGGTTTATTTCATTTCAGTCACAATGGATTGGCCCTTTTACGAACCTTTTATGGATTATATTAACATTTTACTTGCACACTGAGCAACTGATTGTTTGGTCATCACTATTGTTTGGTCATGAAGCGATTAATATGCCGATCTTTAGGGATATATTCGGTTACAGTGATTACTTATTACTGATTGAGAAAGACTGTGACTTGCAACAATTATTTGTTTTCAATATCTACACCGAGAGATCATTAAATGATCGGAGTATATTTTTGGTATCATTAAACGACTGAAGTATTGATTCGACCAATCGGAGTACATTTTTGGGTTTAAATGGAGCCAGTCTTCCTAGAAATCACTCAACAATGTGAGAGAGCAGCCCTACACCCCAGAGACTGTCAAATCAATAGCGGAGATTAGAATTTGATGAAAGCGGATGATTGATTTCGCTTTCATTATTAGCTGTTAGGAAAGAACGACATTAAGGGAGGAAGAATGTGATATGAGTGATAGCAGAAAGGCAGAAACTCATGTTGAGGTGTAATTGCTGATTACATGAATGGAGTGGAGGATTAAACTTCTTGAAATGATAGTTTTCGCTGTGCATTTTATTTGCATGGAAATTCAGTTTTCGTAGCAATATCATGGACATGAACAATTCCGTTTCAAATTCAATTTTATTGCGAATGATTCATCAGATAATCATTAACATATTGATGTGCACAAAATGCGATTTCTAAATGAAATGCTTCATTAAAATACAGATGGCGCACTACTTTGCTTTGAAATTTTGCATTGATATGAAGATGGATGGACAAATTAAATGGATGACTAGAACAGATATAAGAATGCACTGTTTTAAACCGTGATGTAAAATGTATTGAAAAGCATATGAAGATGTGGTAAAAACGTCTGGAATGATAAAAGAAAGAAGCCACTATATTCAGAGGGTTTTGTGGGTCATTCCATTGAATTTTGATCGAAATTTTCGTTCGAGTTTGAAAGGCCGCTATTGATAAGGTGACTTCAGAAACGTGAAATTTATTGAGATAAACTGGATGTATTGTAGATGAATTAATTTGATGAATTATTTTGATCAGCAATTGGTAACAAACACTTGCAATCAGAAATCATCATACTTCACTGATTGCACTCGAATTGAGCCACGCCTTCTTTTATCTGTTTTCATAAGACGGCGGCGTTCCTTCTTTTATGAGACACCACCGTCTAGAGAAGAGGCTTATAACGTGGGAAAGTGACGATCATATGAAATGCAACTTACACGAATACAAAAATCATCGGAAATGCTTGTAATTGGTGTTGATGCGCTCCTCAGAGCAAATATTCCACATATGAGAACGATCATTTAAATGACAAATGTGGCCATACGAGCAATTTTATGATGTTACAAACGGTATTCTCACGTAAATTTACTCAAAACCGACAAATTTTAGTGCGACAAAGGCAAGATGACTGGATAAATAGGATGTTAGACGGGATGATTATGATATTTGACGTGAACAGTGAGAATGGTCGACGTGGAGTAGCAAACTGCAACAATACTGAGATGCGTTCGTGTTCAACGACACAATATTACGGCAGATTCCACCACAATAATTCCATCTGTGAAATGTCAGTAATGGCGACATCAGAACTAGCGATCATAATAGATGTTGCATGACTCCAACAATTAATACAGCCACACAACACCTATCAAGCCGCACATACCACACCTAACCAATACATATGTCGATGAAAAAAACTAAGTCCCCATTCTCACATGGACATAGCCGCAAAACGCATCCAATCGTCTCATTGATAGCTTTCCTTGAAATGTCTCGTCGCTTATAACAACACACTGTTACGGTCAGTGGCACAATGCCCGATTGGCGCTCTATCAAATTTGCTTGCATTTTGAAACAGAATTGAGGTTCGACAGAGCAAAAGATGGGAAATGCGATAAGATGAAATCCTCACGGGTAAGGTAGGATCATAACCTTACAGATTAAGTGGGGTGAAGACCACCTTTTGAAACTCTTCCATTTGGTGATGATCAAGGATCTGAAGTTTGCGCCTGAAAATGGTAAGGCTTCAACGATTCATCATTGATTCAACAACCAATATTATTCTGTGTGGTCAGTTGAAAAGTATATTACTCACATAGAATGCTTGAGATAGAATTTTTGTTTCATTTGTTTCAGTACAGCTCAAGATAAGTAATGGCGGCGCATTGTTGAATTCATAGAAATTCAGATTTTGAAAGAAGCTAACTGGCGAAGAAAATGGCACACAATTCAGAATAACGGAAAGCAAACAGCGATTAATGTAGGGAATTTAAGCAATTAACAGTGAGTGTGATAGTCTGGACTGAAATGCTTGCGATGTTCATAGATGTTTTCTGAAGTAAGAATCATCTTAAGTGACAAGAGTAACTGAAGAAAATTATGCTTTTCTAATTTTGGTTATAATTGTAATTTATCGTTTAAATTCAAGTAGCAGTTGTCGTTTTCCGATGGTAACAACAAAGTATTGCCGTCCAATGCAAGGTTGAGGGTTCATTTCCTGATTGCGGAGGAAAGTTTCAGCCAGAACTAACAATAAGGAATGGGTCATTCAGAAGGGCATTAATACTGGTGATGTTTTCACGACGTGACCAGCAAAACAGTTTCGGTGCTCATGAATATTATAGTATTCTTGAAATGAACACTTCGTATGCAACCCTCTTAGCTAGCTTTTAACATCAGTGTACCATTGTAAGAACTGTTTGGAATTCTTGCAAAAAGAAAAAAACTTGTAGTTTGGAAGATCTTTGGAATACTGAGCCGTGATTGGACAACTTTGGAAAACTTATGTAGAAAACCAATTAACAATGATTTGTCAACCTCCTCTATTCTCTCCTAATACCAGCAAAGTCTTCCTCTCTACCCATCTTTTATGAAAATCATTGGTTTAAGTCTTAGCACTTGATAGTTCTTCTCTGATTTTTAAAATAATATTTATGTACTCTTAATTTTTTAGAAACATTTTGAAGTTTTTGTCAGTTTATGAAAAGATCATTAGTGGCTTCCAGCCGAGTGATTCTGCTCATTTCGATCACAATCTTATCGTTTTCGGTAATAAGTAGAGTAGGAAATGAAATCAAGAGCTAAAAATTCCAGGAAGGAACTTTTGATGCTCACTAAATTTTTGTTCGTAAAGAAGACAGAAGTTTGTTGACGTGATGCAATCAATGCGAAGGCATTTACGTCGAGAATCGACGCATTCAAGCGCACTTAATGCTCGTCTAGCAGTTCGTCAAGCCGTGGCCGACTTGGTGAATAATCCTGAAAGTACGCTTGCGAACGTTATTAGAAATGGTAATATCAAGTAAGTGGCGCCTGCTTTATTCAGTCTTAATGATTCACTTGTATACATTTACAATCATGATCACAATCTCTTCCCAACACCAAATCTAATCTCAAGTCGTAGTCTAAGTGTAATTCTCGTCAGCTAGCAAAAATAAGCCATGGAAAGGGCTTTTGTAGGACACTTCAATCAATGCGTTACTTTTCACGAATTTTCAAAACTTTTTGGTTTTGTTACTTTTGACCTTTTCCCTCTATTCGCAGCTTATGCTTTAAACGGCTAAGTTCTTTTTCTTGCAGCAATAAACTCATAGATCCAATACATCGGCTCGTATTGGTTCAGTTGGAAAGTATTTATGATAGAATACAGGTTTCGTACACTTTATTCTTGAATGTTAAAACATTTCACCTATTTATTGTCAGCAATCAAATTTCTTTTCAAATGAACACTCGAAGAATATTATTTTGTAAGTATGCTTATCCTTGCTATGATTGATTGGTATACGTTCACTGTTTTGAGATGTGTTTCAGTGCGAAATATTATCATTGAGCAATACACCGCCTTCATCGCACTCCATTCTGAAATTTCTGCAACTCTATGATGGTGAAAGCAGCAAAGACATTGTTCAACGATTTGGTAATTTGTTCTAGTATTGCTTTACTCATCTCGAGTGTCATTCGTCCTTCTAATTGATGATGAGAAAATTTTATCAGTGTGGTGATAATTGATTTCTAGAAAACCAGTGTGTATCAGCACGAATGCGCGAAATTGATGAATGGAGGAAGATTGGTACGTCGCCATTGAATCAACTGCGAGCCGCACCAAAGCCTACAAATGTGCCACCACTTGATAAAAGTGCATTACTTAGCGACTCTGGGTGAGCCGTGATAACATTTTCAGCAATCATTTATTACATTCTCACTTTAATGATCGTGAGACAGAATAAATTTCAATGAATTATATCAGAGTTGAATGCAAAAGTTACATTTGTTGTTGCATACATCTATAGTCACATTTTAGAAGTTCAGTTTCGTTGGATGAAGGGGTAAAAAACGAAGCAGTATCATCGGCTGTGTTATCGGATCGAGGTGTAACAGAGTCGATGAACTCATCCGATTCATCGATGCATAAAATATGGTCACAATCGTCTCTGTCTGAACAGGCTAACGCCCGATCATCTTCTGTTTCTAGTCAACCGGCAGCATCTGATCATTTGATGGATAATGAACAAACCAATCAATTGGATGAAATTGCTAAAAAGGTTGGTATCATTCTAATCAATGACCGAGTGAATATTTTTCCAGCAAGAAGTAACGGAGTTCACTGAATTCTTTCGTTTGCTTTTATTCATATGTATCCCAATTATAAGAATGACTCACATACTTAATAATCAAGCACATTTAATGCAAACTTTATCGATTCCCAAGTGGGGGTTACGGCACTTACCGTACACTTTTAGGCGAAGACATAGATGTTTTTTTGGCATAGGGTTAACAGTTGGGAATGTAGAATGTTTTGCAAATTCGTTCTCGATGGAGTCAAGTGTTCACATTCGTTTTGATTGGTTCATTGAGAATCACGATTGTTTAATGGATGCTACAAATAGATATTGTTGTGTGCAATTCGTTCGAATATTAAGGTAACCGCTCGACTGATGAATGATGCATGTTTTGTTGAGCAGCTACGTATTGGAGGTTCATCTCTAACACGTGCGCCGAATGGTGTGCTCACTGGCGAATCAGATCTTGTTGAACATATCCAAAAGGTGGCTCAAGAGGCTCTACCAACCCTCCTCTCCAAAACCACTCTGATCCCATCAGTGCCCGTTTTAGAGATAGATGACGACTGTGCTTTCAATACATCTGAGGTTATTTTCAGAGGCGTTTGTTTAGTCGACTGTATATGAATGGTTTACGCATAATTGCCAAAACAGTTGTGTTTAAGCAGTATCATTTGAAAATTTGTTAATCACTGTGAAAGTATACTACATTTACAAGTTATCAAGAGAGAATTTTTCAGTTGCAGTTTATCATCATTCTCCGTTCCTAATCTGAATATATAAAAATTCATGGAAAATAGAAATATTCTTGATCGATTCTATATAAACGTTCACTGCGAAAGTATGATTGAAGGAGGACAGACAAGGCGACAAGCGGGCAACCAGTGCAGCGACAAGATCGTCGCATCGATCCCAAGGCAATGCGACCACATCTCGTTACATACCGCCAATAAAACCGTCAACTGCAGAAGCATCGGTGGGTACTGAATGGCCTGAGCAGCAGCCGAATACTGTGACGGCAATGGTCGAAAAAGGTGTGAGTACAGAAAACGATCACTTGATCGCATCTCAAGAAAAACTCTCTAGCTCGAATCCAACCGAAGAATTGAGTGTTGGGCAAATTCCGCAGAAAGCGGTTGATAAACTTCTGTTAAGGTGAGTGTTTTTGATAGTTATTGATTAAGCAGTCAGATTGGATGGTTAGTTGAAGTTGTAGTGAGAAAAGCGAAAAGAGAATATTTTCGTGGATATATTCGCTCGAGGACAGCGTAGAATTATCTAAAAGCAAAAAACAGTAAATATTAATTTTTAAAAGAGATTTGGTTATGTTCTATTGAAAGGAAGGGAATCAATGTTGTGACGATTCGGAGTGATGGTAGTGTGCTGCCCACTTATAAGCAAACATCCAACAAGCGGCCATCAGTGCGAGAATGGCATCCCCCTTGTTCTCACCGCGTCACCATCGTCACTTCTCCATCAAGGTCACCTCGAACCATCGTCGATCCGACCGTCATTAGTGGGACCATTCACGGAAACAGTGATGATAATGAGCAGATCGGTACATTCTTGCTTTATGATGATCGAATTTGATTGATTTTTGTGTATCTGTTGTGACGCGAAAAGCAGCGAATGCTCGAGAGGTTTAGGTTCAGAGGATAATGTGCGAATGACTATCGAAACTGTGAACATTCTAACAAGAAAACTTTAATTTGCAGAATGTGTGTCTGCAATTAGCACGATGAGCAGTTCACGGATCAGCGCGTCACCCAAAGACTCGAGCAGTACATTGGCTCATATATCACCTTTACCTCATCACGATTAAGTAGGTGAATGCATCACTATCGACGAATATTTTTGTTGAACCATTTTTTACGTTCACTACCGAGGTTGAGTCGTATTCAGTTGTAAGATCGGAACATTGTGCGCTGTTCCAGATGTGATGAACTTGGTTGTGTGTACAAATACGGATTATTTCATGAAAACATATCGAAAGAACAGGTTGGTGCTGCTGCTGACTGTATCAGTTGTTCGTTTCTTGCTGAATCAGTCTCTTAATGATGAAATTATTTACGGCGTTCCACGGTTCGTCACATCACACCAGTTACTTGGAGCAGGCACATTTGCGTTCACCTTCATATCCGTGGTTTTTGTGATTTCCCCGTGCTGTCACATCAAATTGACGATGATGGTATGCAGAAATGACGGAAGCTTGCATACTTCGAAGCCAAAACAAACGAAGTGAAATGTATTCGATTGCGTTGATATGCTACTATTTGATAAAGTAACTGTTTGCATATGATCTCGTGTTTTCAGTGTAAATGTCATGTTATCTTTACTTAACATTGTGTCAAGTTAATGTTTCATTGCTCGATTGTATTTATTGTCTGAATTCACATTCATAAATTTGTTCGTATATATGGTTGGCTCGTTTCTAAAGTGCATCGCTGTAAATTGTAAGCAGCATGATATAATGCAAACACTTTAGCCATAGGCTCTGACCACATCTAACTAGCAGGTATGAATATATAAAAGTTCGATGTTGTTTAGGAAAATGTAAGACATGACAAAGAATTGACAGTCATCACAGGAATAAAGAGGCTTGCCGGAATCCCAATGCTGTTTCCTAACTCACCACATTACAATTCGTCCACTTCCGGCTGATCATTCTTCTCATCAAAAAATATTGTGAAACAAAACTGGTAATCGCAAACACACAGTGCAAAAAAATGTATTAACTTATTTCAGAGTTAAATGTTTTTAAAAAATACACAGTTTCCAATATGCTGAGCGAATCTTGCAATAAATGTGTGCACATAAAATGAGTAAAAGAATCTGCAAACACATTTAGTTGCGGGCTTACCAAGCAATCGAACTAGTGCTTTTTAAATTGCTGGAAATTTATTTGTGAATTGTATTTAGAAGCAGTGAAAGCTAGAGACTAATATTTGAAATCGTCTCAGCACAACGGAAATGTTCAAACGATAATGAATGTATCAAGGAAATAAAATAAATCATAAGAACGAAAAGAAATTAGAAATTTGATGACATTCATGTTCGATTCATGAAATTTTGTTTGAAATTGTTTGGATGCTACTTCATTGTGGAAACTGATCTTGATGAGCCTCAATCAAATGAGAATTGATCTTCTAAGCAGTTGGTTCCCTGAACAAGTACGTTGTTTTTGTATGCATTATCAATGCAATGCAGTTTGCATCACATCAGATTTGATTTACCAGAAGGGGTTCAAAATCTTTTATCGATTATACGGAATTGATAATCGGTAGTTTGTTGAATTACGTTGCATATTTGTCGACGTGCTGTGACTGGATTTGCTGAAGCACATCATTTGCAGTGGAACCATACACAGCAATTGTAATATGAGCACTTTCAACTAGAGATAGCAGTAACTGAAAATGCAGTTGCATTCAGAGTATTTTCAAGCTTTATCTTTTGCGGTGTTGAATTATGCCGTATAAATTTACTGTTGTGCCGATACATTGTCCCAATACTCGTATTATCGCTCTCTCGTTGCAGTGAATTTCATCGCTCACAACTGAATAGAGCATCTATTATTTATTTGTTGGTTTATCTTAGAAAATGAATGTACCATTTTTATTCATTAAACAGCTAGCACTACTATGTAAGCACTCGTTTGAACATATGAGCTTGTGAGGTAACCTGCGCCTAGCAGTCTCAACCAATCCTAACAATAAGTCGTTTTGAGCAGCGCTTCTTAAACTTTTTACTTGTTCACTAGCGAATTCCAACTGTATAAAATAGCAATATAAGTTAAACATTTACTTTTGTCCACATCAATTCGTCGAAAAACTTTCAAAAAATCAAAAAACTCTTTTTCTTGATTATTCGGTTTTCTAGATTCTTATTTTGGTTTCACGTTCTGTGTAATTCAAGAAGTGCTCTTTTAAGAGTGTTCTACGGCAAAATTGCAGTTCTTCGATTAAGTGTTCATACTGGGGAAAGGCGGAGTCTAGTTTGACATTCAATAGGATGTTGTTGATGCTGCTGGCTGGCTGCATTCGTTGAGCATGTGAAGCGAGCGGTTTGAAATAGTGGCCAGCAGTTTACGAATTAAATTACAATGAAAATACTGAATTGAATTTGGTGAATTTCTTGTGAGATTTCAACGCCACTTTACACGCATATGCATTGTTCAGAGATATTTGAAGTGAAGTTATTTTTTCCGTATTGCCACCGCTAGTCGCATTTTGCTTTATTTCAAAATCTATACTTGCTGATGTTTCATCAATTGCTCACCAACAAAAAACCGCTTGCTCAGTTCCTCTCTTATTGAG